TTGACGTGATGATGATGTGATATTAGAAACTAGCTGGTACACGCGACTTCGCGTGGAATTTGAGAAAAAAAAAATTATAGGGCTTTTCTGAAAGGAAAAATAGACTTAGTTACTTCTTATATAGACAGCTACCTGGTAGTAAAATATTATCAAAATCGGTCTAGCTGCTTAGAAGATTACTCGTAACTAACAGACAAACAGCCAAAATAATTTAAACTGGTTTTTAGGCATAGGTATCGTGCAAATAACGGTGAGAGCATAATAAACCTATTATTTTGACATTACAAACAGACACTTTAATTTTATTTATTTGTATAGAAGATATCGACAATCTATTGACACTGTGAATTTATGTTAGTTGAATCCCGATATTTTGACCGATGTCAATGGCATCTCAATAGCGTGTCAGAGGAATGACAGTGGCTTGGCGTTAACATAAAATAGCAGAATTGAGGTCCTGTATGCTCGTAAAAAAAAAGTCAGAGTTTAGAGGACTCTGGTTTTACAGGCCAAGTTTTAATTGCAGTAATTTTAATACTATTTAATTTTAGCTTTACAACCTAAATAAGGGTTACCATCAAAACAACCTTGGTATATTTGTTTTCTGTAGCTAATAATATCACATTAATAATACAATTTAGTAATTTAATAGCTTAAAATTGTTTTAATTATAGAGCGAGACTGAAATTAACTTTGATGTAGGTACCTATTCTGGTGACGGTGAGTTGATATTATTTATTGGAGTTTACATAGTTTGGGGTTATGTAAACATTAATTTATTTAATTTTAATATAAACCCAGGAATGTAAATGTTTTTATAGGTATTCAAAATCGAAAAACAATAAAAACGTTTTGAGTTTTTAATTTATTCATAAAGTTAAATTCAATATTGAGAAACATTGAACTAAAAAATCGAGAAATTTTAAGAAAAAATACTTAAAGTTTAATTTTGGTTCGATTCTAAATATTTTCCTCTTCAGTATAGCCTGCAAAAAAGGATCTTATAATCCCAATACACGCACGTTATTAGCCATTTTCATTCGAGTTTGAAACGTTCGTGACATAATAGTACACACATTCATACACGCACCTTCCGATTTGCGTCTAAACTATTTCACGTAACGTTGTCAAAATTTAGTAACTTGTCAATTAGTTAGGAAGGTTGGGCATTTTTGTAAATGCTATTAGACATACCCGCTTGAACCCGCCTTATTAGACTTACAATCGAATGCTCAATCATTACACCACATAGCATTTCACAAACGACAAATAAAAGTCAACTATACTTGTAAATATATATTACTATAACTAAGAAATAAAGAAAAACAACAAAAAAGACTTCACGAACAAATTACCAAAAAAATAATACAAACAAAATTATATAACACATTCCCTAAATCCGTTAGAGGACCAGAGATTATCCGAGCACTTACTATAAATACTGCTTGCCTAAAATGCCTAAAGCTCCGAGCTAAAAACAGTGGCAGATAGATAAAGCCGGCAATTAGGAATAACGTTCCATCCATTTGTTAGATAAAAGTGTATATATTTTTGGCCAGTAAACACACAAATAATCTTTTTAGTATAATATACTAAGATTATGATATAATGAACTGTGTATTCTCTTATATTGTTTTTGTTATCGTACAGCGATCATAGACAATTGTAAATAATAGGTTAGGTTTTAACGGAACCCTTTTGTTGATAAAAAAAAACCATAGTAACAAAAATATTTGGTTCAGATATTTAATTACAAGATCTTACAGATTGATCGAATACAGTAATAAAATACGATTCTATTATACATTCTATTAGAGGAACCTATACCATTGAAAGGCATTCATCAACAGCCTTTACTATGTCAATGCTGGACTTAAGCCTCTCCTTAGAAAGGAGGATCTTGGCCTACTATACCACGCTGGCCAGACGGGTTGGTATACGGTTTGTTTCAAGTTTTCCTTCTCTTTGCGGGACTGTTGTCCTAAGTAGTTTACTCCCTTAGTCGACTCTTAGAACACCCACGGGATGAATAGGGGTGATGATACAAAAAAGCATTATTTTGCCTTTATATTATAATATTAGTCTTTAATAATAATAAAACTGGCCAAACTATCCAAATTCCGCCGGCACAACTTCGATCGAGAGGCGTATAGACGAATTCTTCTGGGCTGGGCGGCAAATGGGAAGCTTCGTCATATCTTCGAGTCACCGATCCCGAAATCGCTAAGGCGTTTAACCGGTACGTCCTACCCGTAATGATATACGAAGCCCAGACGTGGATACTCACCGTTGGACTGGTCAACAAGTTCAAAGTCGCTCAGCGGGCGATGGAGCGTGTACTGCTTGGTGTTTCTCTAGTCGACAAAATTCAAAATGAAACTATTCGACAGAGAACTAGAGTAACCGATTTCGCACAGAAAATCTCGACATGTGTTAGAGTGGAGACCGCGATCGGGCTAACGTAGTGTAGAGCACCCTGCAGAACGAGGGAGCGAAGGCTTCAGGAAAAGAGCGGATGGATGCGGACTGCCCAAGACCGGAATGGTGTGCGCTCTTTGGGGGAGGCCTTCGTTCAGCAGTGGACGGCAATAGGCTAAAGTATAATAATAAATAATATAATTGCATGCATGGTTTATGCTTGTTTTTATACGAACCCGTCTAGCCAGCGTAGTATAGTAGGCTAAAACCTCCTTTCTAAGGAGAGGCCTGTGTCCAGCAGTGGACCATTAGAGGCTGTTGATGATGCATGCTTATTACCGTCAACTTACTTACACTACTTAAGGGTTTAGATGGTAAGATTAAAAGTATATTCACAGGTAAAGGTAGATAAAGCAGGGCAATTGTAGGCAAGGAATGTTTTTATATAGATGAATCCATACTAATATTATAAAAACAGATAGACTGTTACCTCTTCACACTGAAACCACTGAAACGATTTAGATGAAATTTAGTATAGCGACAGTGTGAGTTCTAGGAAAGGACATAGGATAGTTTTTGTCCCAGAAATTTTGAGGGCGTGAAAAAGGGGGTCGCAGTTTGTATAGGGAATCAATACCCGCTGAACTGATTTTGATGAAATTTGGTATTGAGATAGTATGATTATTGATTAAGGACATATGAATATTTATACGGGAGAAGCCGCAATTAAAAGGTAGTTGGAGAATGAATTAGATTTGATAACAGTTCTTCAAGGGTTGTCTGAAAGAGCTGATAGTAGTATTGGTGATAAGCCTACTAATTACTAGAGTGTTGAATTTTCAAGATAAATAAATTAATTTAAGAGCTATAAAATAATAGTATCTTCAACGTCTTCATTATGAAAATACTCATCTGTCTGATCCCAAATTATTCAAACAATGCACCAAAATAACCAGACTGATGATAAATACACTTAAATATTATGTAATATCATCATCATCATCAACAGCCTTTACTAGTCCACTGCTGGACATAGACCTCTACTTAGAGAGGAGGTTTTGGCCTACTATATCAAGCTGGCTAGACGGGTTGGTATAGGGTTTGCATCAAGTTTTCCTTCTCTCTGCAGTGCTGTTGTCCTGCGTAGTTTGCTCCCTTAGTCGCCTCATACGACACCCACGGGATTGATAGGGGTGGTGACACTCTGTATTCTTAATCCGTCACCACACGGACGATTATTTAATAAGTTCAAAGGTATCACAGATAAACTACACCCAGATACAGACGAAATTATGAGTGGCGATCAAACCGACGACCTTTCAGAGGTCATGATCTAGTCATCACGACCCCTTCGATTACGTGAATATAAAAATAGTTATACTAGTGCAATGACATTTCATAAAAATGGTTTACAAAGCCATGTCAATGAGATTAGAAGTCACACAGCCAGACAAGTGCAAGTCTAATCGCGGACTATGGGTTTTAGTTCGTTCATTTTGGATATCGACTCTTAATCATTTTAGCTCAGTTTTTCTGAATAACAAACTTAATTTTGCCTTTCCACAAACAGGACTGTCCGTGTAGTGACGGATTAAGAATACGGAATGTCACTACCCCAATTCATCCCGTGGGTGTCGTAAGAGGCGACTAAGGACGCAAAACAACGCAGGACACCAGCACTGCAAAAAGTAGGAAAACTTGATACAATCCCTATACCAACCCGTCTGGCTAGCGTGGTATAGTAGGCCAAAACCTCCTTGTTAAAGAGAGGCCTATGTCCAGCAGTGGACTATTAAAGGCTGTTGATGTGATGATGATGACAAACAGGACTCCAACTTCCAACTTTTCATATGTTGATAAAAGTCAAAGTCGATTGATAAAAGTTCTAAGCATACTTAATAAATCTCAAGAAATTAATTTTTATGTGACACTAGCAGTTTCCTGAAGTTTTATCTAGATAGTCAGAGCTCATGTTGTATTTCATGTGTTTGAAAAATAATAATTTACTTCATATCTTTTTGTGATTTATTTTATTTTTTTAAAGGTTGTTCTGTTACGGCAAGTCCTACTACACAAAATTTAATTGAAATCGAGTTATTTTAGTAGAGTTATACATTATTGAGTAATGAAATGTCTTACTTTGATATATATGTTAAGATAACAAGAAATTAATCAAGTATAATTTTCTCCATGTATTTGTGCTGTAAGTCAATGGTTCTCGCTAAATTTCACGTGTCTAGGGCATCAGAAGATTATTTTTTAAAGGTTCAAATGACAGGTGATAAAAGTACTTATTATTAATTTCAACTTGAGGGATCCAGGTGCTTCTGATGATCAGGGGCTGAATAGACCAAAATTCAGACGAACAACGAAATAACCTTATAATGGTTTCATATTTTTTTATTCAGGAACGGAACCCTAAAATTATGTAACGCTACTTTATCTCACATTATTTTATAACTCAACATCTTCAGTTAAATTATGACTTACATTTGATAACTCAGCGTTATCTCTTCGTTATCAGAAACATTATATAAAAATAATTACTTCAAGTGGATATTTCATTTCAGTAAACAATTAAAATGACAATTTGGCGCTCGTTAATCGTGTTGTGTTTGATCGCTTGTGTTCGGAGCGACGAAGGAAAATGGCGACAAATTGAAACTCCACAGGGTCCGGTACGGGGCCGCAGAGACCCAGCAGGGTTGTACATCTTTAGCAATATACCGTATGCTACAGTACCTTCAGGACCCAACAAGTTTGGCGTAAGTTTGACGTAAATATGGTAGTTTGCATCCATTGAACTATATCATTAATGATATTCAATAGGTGGCGATCACATTAATATATTTGCCAAGCAATTTATTCACTCTACCGTACATTATAGTGAAGTAAGTAAGTGAGGTACTAAGATAATTCCAGAATAATTTATGCCTCTGTGTCGGGGAAATCTATATACATATATATTATAAAACACGACCATCAGTTAATAATAATCTATCATAAATAAGATAAATTATAAATTAAACCAGTAACGCTTATGGTTGATAGCGGTCTGTCTTCTTACGCTTCAATATCATCGTGGAAGATAGCGGCTATCATCATCAACAGCCTTTACTAGTCCGCTGCTGGACATGGGCCTCTCCCCAAAAAGGAGGTTTTGGCCTACTATACCACGCTGGCCAGACGGGTCGGTATAGAGTTTGTGTCAAGTTTACCTTCTCTCTGCAGTGCTTTTATCCTGCGTAGTTTGCTCCCTTAGTCGCCTCTTACGACACCCACGTGATGAATAGTGGTGGTGACACTATATCTTTAATCCGTCACCACACGGACAAGGTTGCGGCTACATACAGCAAAAATAGACGTTTGTTGAATGTGACATAAGTTAATAAAATATAGCTCATAATATTATTTTCATATTTATTGCAATGGGCAATATGCAAGTTAGCTTTGGCCAGCAGTGGACTGCAATAGGCTGATGATGATGATGATTTATTGATACTAAAATTTAACTTGTCTCAATAAACAAAATATATCAAGCAATAATTTTTTTTTGGTCAAAACAGGCACCCAGTCCGCCACCAATTTGGTTGCAACCTCTTGAAACATCAAATAAACCAATCATTTGTCCACAACCTATTATGCCACTACTTGAAGGTAAAGTGATGCAGGAAGACTGTCTCATTGCAAACATATATGTTCCAATTACAACCCAAACAAACCTTCCAGTAGTGGTATACATACATGGAGGAGCTTTCGAATTAGGTTATGGAGACTTACTAACTCCTAAGAACTTCGTAAAACAGAATGAAGTCATTGTGGTAACGTTTAACTACCGTCTTGGAGTTCACGGATTCCTGTGTTTGGGTACTGATGATATTCCTGGCAATGCAGGTATGAAAGACCAGGTACAATTACTAAAATGGGTGAAAAAAAACATTGGAAGTTATGGAGGTGATCCCGAAGATGTAACTATAGCCGGGTATAGTGCAGGCTCAGTATCAGTGGATTTATTAATGCTTGCGAAATCTGCACAAGGTTTATTCAATAAAGTTATTCAAGAAAGTGGAGCAGCTGTAGCGTCTATTTCGGTACAAATAAATCCATTGGAAAGTGCAAAAATACTTGCAAGAAAACTAAATTTCACTGACGTAGATGATGTTTATGCATTAGAAGAATTTTACAAAAATACTCCATTGGAAATGTTGCTTGGAAGTACATTTGCTGATAGAACAGATGCTTCCATACCTTTCGGACCTTGCGTTGAACGGAAATCTAGTTTAGCCTTTCTTTCTGATGCACCAGTTAGTATAATAAAGAAAAAAGAATACAAACAAATTCCTATTCTAATTGGGTTCAGTAACTTAGAAGGTTCAGTAATGACCCCCCTATTTGAAACCTTTAAAAACAAAATGAATGAAAAATTTTCTGATTTTTTACCGGCTGATTTGCACTTTGAAAACGAATGTCAAAGAGAAGAAATAGCAAAATCAATTAAAGAGTTTTACTTTGGTGATAAGACTGTAAGTGAAAACACAATTCTTTCATACATTGATTTCTTTTCTGATGTATTATTTGTACATCCTACCCTACGATCTGTTCAACTGCATGCAAATAGTGGTCATCAAGAGATATATTTGTATGAATATTCATTCACGGACCCCGTCTACACTCCGTTAGTACCACATACCGAAGTACGTCGTGCTGAGCATGTTTATCAAACGTTTGCAATATTAGATAGAGTGGGTTTTCTAAACATAACGGACGAAAGTCAATTATCCGAAGAATTCAAAAACATGAAAAGGACAATGAGAGATCTGTGGAATAACTTTGTGAGACACGGGTGAGTTGTAATTATATTTTCATATTTTTCGATATTAGCTAATTATCCATATGTGATGTCAAGAAAAGTAGTTAATAATAAAAATTAAACGTTTTAGTGTAAGTAGAAAGTGACAGCATTAGCCTAAACATGTTACTTCGCAACATGAAATCCTATTTATGTTCTGTATCTCTAGGTTAATTCATTATGGAGTAGTCATACATGTCCGAAGGGTATATCTTGATTTCATGCTCTCATCTGACTTCTCTTTTAATTTTTCGACATCAGTGGTTCAATGAAGGCTATTACTAGTTTTCATACTATAATAAATATTCTAAATTGGTTATACTAAACTAAGAAATCTTTATGTCTTTCATGCTTGGTGGTGGGCTCTCTGAATTAATATTATCAGCTGTCGTTACTTCTTATCATTATTTTCAAGGTTATCTAAGCGATATTACTTTTAGCGACAAGATAATATATTTTTTACCTATCAACTATATACACCTAATAACATAATGATAATACAGTAAAATATTATAATAAACATCTCCATTCCTTCAGATTTTAATATGCCTTGCCCTCTTTCCTGTCTGCGTTGAATATTTTTATTTTACTTTTCAGGAAACCTGTTCCTGAGGGATCATCGTTTCCGTCGTGGCCTTCAGCAGATGCAAATCGTTCGCCATATATGTCCTTAGGTCAAACAATGCAGCTACAGAGCTCGCTGCTTGAGTCCAGGGCTCGTTTTTGGGACGACATTTACCAGAGATACTATCGGGAGCCAACACCACCCCCAAATCCACCAAAAAGTGAATTGTGAGCAGTATGATGTAAATGATACAAAGTTTTTTCTTCTGCTTGTGATTTAAGATTGATATATATTGATGAGTAGTACGAAAACAACCATGAAATTATAGTAAGTTGTATAATAAAAGAATACTTGTTTAAGAAACGTTTATTCTGTAACCTTAAAACTTACTAGAGTAATTGTTAACACTAAACACATCTTCTCTCCCCGTTCACAACCTGGGGGATACGGAATCCTAATTATGCTACTGTTGACAAAACTTTTGGGTTGACATCTCAACCAATTGAGCAATTTTTTTTATATTTTAGTTAAGGCACAAAGAAAGTTCCCATAAAGAGAAAACGTAAAAATTGCGAGAATATTAGCATAAATAACACTTTAATTTTCGCAAACAAACCACAGAGTAAATTAAAACACCTTACCCTAGCTGACAAACATTTGATGTTAGTCATAACTAATAAGACTATAGATATTAATTTATGCCTGCCCAAAATAAAGTTCGAAAAAAAAGAGGTTTGCCTGTCATCAAAGAAAATAATATTACTGACGCACGTGTCATTATTACTTTAATTTTATTATTTTACACTTTATGCACAAATGTGACAAAGGCGGACTTAATGCCGTAGGCATTTTTTCATAATAGCAGAGATTCGCAAGTGATGATCCTGATGTATTACACATCATCAGATAACTGACCATTTGCTTGTTTGTGAAGTAAATAATAGGTCTTTACCTATGAAATTGCCGTTTTGTATGCAATAAGTGAAAGTACTTTTTTTTTTTCAAACTTTTTTATTTCTGTTATTCGAAGTAATCACCCATGCAATCGACGCATCTTTGCCAACGCATTGGCACCTGTGTGACCTTGCACCTACCGACTATTACTTTTTCCAAAATTTAGACAACTTTTTAGTGGGTGAAAAATTCAATTCCCGAGAGGCAGTACAAAATGCCTTTGAAGAGTTTGTTGCCTCCCGTCCAGCTGATTTTTACAAGAAGGGCATCATTAAACTGCCAATGCGTTGGCAAAGATGCGTCGATTGCATGGGTGATTACTTCGAATAACAGAAATAAAAAAGTTTGAAAAAATAAGTACTTTTACTTATTGCATACAAAACGGCAATTTCATAGGTAAAGACCTAATATAAAGTAATCATATATATTTCAAAATGGCAGAATTTACTTTGTTGTACGTTTGTTATATACAGTTCTAATTTACAAATAAAACTTTCGTGTTCCATTATGTTGTAACACTAAGTGGCAACGATACGATAGCAGGAATTTCATTACATCTCTCGTGAAGACTAATTTACTAGATTGAGGTGATATATGTGTAACATACTATCCCCATTTTCGCCGCATACTGGAGTGGGTCAGCGAGACACGTACATGTGTTGGTATATCAGATGACTTCAAACGTAATAACGGGTTTACGGGTTCATACAATTGTAGGTGGGAATTGAATATTTCCAAGACTATTAAATGTGTATTAACGCCCATCATAACGTACAATTGCAATAAGTTGAACTCTATCGAGTGTAAGGATATTTTAATTAAATAATAATAATAATATTTTACCATACTGACACAACGCCATCTAGTCCCAAACTAAGCAGAGCTTGTACTGTGGGTACTAGACAACTGATATAAATACATGTATACTTTTTTTTTTGTAAATACATACATATACATAGAAACACCCAGACATAATCAAACATTAAAATGTTCACGCACACAAATGTTTGACTTGAGCAGGAATCGAACCCGCGACCTTTGGAATAGCAGTCCGTTACATAAACCACTACACCATCCAGTCGTCCTAACTATAACAATTTTAAATAGTTATAGTTGTATTTTGCATTTATGTAAAACCTTATTTTTATCTGGAATCTAATAGTAACAGTTTTTTTTAAGTTGGGTTAAAAACTTTCAATACTATGTCACATATTTCTTAAGACTTTCGTATTCAAATTCTTTAGATTTTATTTTAGAGCAAATTGAATAATACCAAAAACGGAAAAATGCGAAGTATTCCATTTTTTTTAATACTTTTTACAAAGCAATTCTATGAAAATTGGCAGAATATTCCCAAAAGTGGTATAATTATAATTAACTTACTTCACAATCTTTTATACTCCTATTCTTTCGGCAATCTCGCTTCATTTCACTTACTTATCTTTTAATAAGTAAAATTAAGCTTTTTTGTGGAATATTTTGTTCAGCAAAAAACACGTAACGCAGATTTTGTAATAGATTTTTTCTAATGTTTGTTTTTTGTCAACGTATATAGAATCTTTTATATATATATATTCCTAGTCTATTGTTATATTTGGTTATAATATACTACAACTAGTCTTTTACTTATATCTATAAAAGACGTGAAGCTTATAAATAAAATTATGTCCATGGTTAATGTCTGTTTTCTGTATTCTTACTTTTCTCTACATTTTGTTTTATTTCTTTTATTTGCAATAAGACAAAATGTTTCAACAGACAATAAGTACATAGAGACTTGATAAAACTTTAAATTAATATTTATTTGATATATTTATTACTGAAACCACACAGCGTTAGCTACATTACTACTTTTTCTGTAGCTAAATATATATCAACTAAACGTAAATTTTGTAATATCACAGACACGTCTTGAGATATAACATTTTTTTTTTCTTTTTTACATTCACACAACTCCATCTAGTCCCAAACTAAGCAGAGCTTGTACTAGACAACTGATATAAATACATATATACTTTTTTTTTGTAAATACATACTTATTACACATAGAAACACCCAGACCAAATCAAACATTAAATGTTCATGCACATAAATGTTTGACTTAAGCGGGAAACGAACCCGCGACCTTTGGAATAGCGGTCCGTTACACAAACCACTACGCCATTCGGTCGTCTTACAATTTTAGTTATTTATATTGTTATGTTTCTATTTCCTAGATGTAGACATTGCTGTTCTCTTCTACATAATATTTTACTTCATAATATAAATGAGCCTATAAACGTCTACCATTATCAAATACCGGTTTGCTAAGAATTTCAAGCATTGAACCTTATTTTAATTTACGGCAATGAAATTCGAAGTTCGAATTCCTAACCTCATGATTATACGTAATTATAAACGGTAACTACTCGACGGAACCCACGAAGCCCTTTTAAAACATTTTATACATTATTTGTTAGGCAAGAAGTTTTGCTTTATTCAGATTTTAAACAATATTTTTTTTTTATTTAAAAAAGACAACTCCTGCATTAATAATAATAATAATAAATTTAAAGTAAAGATTTACATAATTTGTTTAACAATGATAGCCACACTAGGCTTAGCCTGTATCGAGGCTACCAATACAAAAACGATTATACATTAGGACAGTGGCAATAATATTAGAATCTTTTATAAATCTCACATGACACAATAGAAGGAGATCGCAGTTTACTACAATTTATATTTATTTAATTGACTATGTTTCAGTTGGAGCTATGTGTATGTGTGTGTGTGATAGTTTGTGAGTCTGTGTGTTTGAGTGTACATGTCTGAGTATGTGTATTCGTCTGTCTGTCAGTTTTCATTAAGAATAAGTATATCCTGTGTCGAGGGGGACTGTACAAATATACATGAAATGGACACAAAGAACACCCAGACTCAGAACAACAATTTGTGGATCACACAAAGTGTAGTCCCATGTGGGGATCACTTAGCGCAGTAGTAAGCTTCGTGGCGACCGCTTAAACCACTACGCCACAACAAACATTGACACAACGTCCCGTTTTTAAATAAACATTAATTATTGATGTAGTACCATAAGTCACAAGACTTTAGTTATTTAATCCACTTGACCGAAGAAGCTTACACAAAATAATAAATAAAGTGTGTTTTCTTCTCGACTGTTAACATACCGTTTGAAGTTTAACATCTGACATCTCATCTACCAGCTGACGGACCAACTCTGGCATTCCGCAAGTGTTTTCAAACAAAACATCCTGTTTCACATTTCCGTCCCCTTTCAAGAAAAATCTCCATAGTTGACAGGAAAGCTAGAAGAAGGAGATAACCGTGGGAGAGCTATGTTTCAGCGATAATGGGCCCGCATGACTGGAATGATAATACGGCCTCACGGAAACGTTTTTAAGGCCGCAACTAAAAAAATTATAATAACTGGTGTTTTAACGATGTTTTTGTTGCTTTTTACTGAGTCAGTTCAAGGCACAAACCCTTGATTCTGGGAGGGGGGGGGGGGGATATGGCATTTACAAACGAAAGATGCTGAACATCATAAATATTTATAACTACATATGTAAGTGTTAACCTATTTACAAAGTAAATTAATCATAGACACAGAGCTTAAGTATGTGTGTGTATGTAAAACCTAAATGGGAGTATTTAAGATGGGCGCTGAGATATGGCTAGATTCCAGACCGCAGACGGGTTTATCTCGTAAATCGTGTTCACAGTTCATTTCACTCACAACGTTTACAACGATTACTACATCAAAGATTTAAATATAATTATAATATTGCCAAGCATTGCATTATTTAATAAATTAAGTTAAAAATATTGATTGAATGAACAAAATAGTGTTACATGTAAAAAAATAATAAATTATTTATCCATCTCACACTTTTATATTCAACTAGCTGTTGCATTTGTTTTATTTTATTATAACACACACAAGGAATGTATCCTGTGTCATGAACCAAACATACATGAAACGGTTAAAGAGAATACTCAGACTCAGAACGACAATTTGTGGATTACACAAAGTTTCGTCCCATGTGGGGATCAAACCTACAACACTCAACGTAGTAGGAAGCGGCGTGGCGACCGCTTAAACCACTACGCCATCCGTGTAGTCATAACAGTCAACTCAGTGAACATAGTGGTTGCATGCAAGAATAGAATAGATAAAAACAATTTCGTGTCAAAATTTGAGCTCAATCGGTACACAACTTCTTAAGTTTTTAAAGCGTACACAAACCAACTTAACATTTATATTTATATAG